ATGGACCTCTCTCAGATTTGTTCATTTTGTGATGATATCTTCAATTCTCTAATTTTGGTGAATATTTTTGTAATTTTTGGTAAAAAGTGATATTTTCGACTTCTTGTTAAAAACCAATAGTTCAATTGCTTTGATATTACATATATAGATACTACATGTAGACCTTTCTCAGATTTGTTCATTTTGTGATGATATCTTCAGTTCTCTAATTTTGGTGAATATTTTTGTAATTTTTGGTAAAAAGTGATATTTTCGACTTCTTGTTAAAAACCAATAGTTCAATTGCTTTGATATTACATATATAGATACTACAAGTAGACCTTTCTCAGATTTGTTCATTTTGTGATTATATCTTCAGTTCTCTAATTTTGGTGAATATTTTTGTCATTTTTGGTAAAAAGTGATATTTTCGACTTCTTGTTGAAAACTGTAAGTCCGATTGCTTTGATATTACATATATAGGTACTACATGTGGACCTCTCTCAGATGTGTTCATTTTGTGATGATATCTTCAATTCTCTAATTAATTTATTTTGGTGAATATTTTTGTAATTTTTGGTAAAAAATGATATTTTCGACTTCTTGTTAAAAACTGTAAGTCCCATTGCTTTGATACTATTCATATTGTTCATTTTCTAATGTCTTCAGTTTTTTAATTGAAATGTGCATTGCTAACAGCAGAGCTATCTCAGCCGATAGGCTGCTTGTTTTTTATGCGGTATCTTGGACGTGCCCTGTCAGTTTTCATTCAAATTTGGCACATACATGTACTTTATATATGTTAGGATGCATGTCCATAACAATTTGTTTCAAAATCTGGTCAAGGATGGCCGATTGACAGCCATTAGACTTTTTGGCCTGACTACTATATTTCCACAATTTATGTACCATTTTCATTCGTATTTGGCACATACATCATACATATCAGTGTGTTTCATAATCAGATCAAAGTTGGCTGAATAACAGCTGTTTTTATTTTTGGACATATTACTACTAAACGGAACATGTGTTTTGATGTAAATAATCTGTTACGCCACTTGGAACTCAAGTTTCAAGGACACGCTCGCGACAACCCCTCCGCTTTAATATGACGAGCACAAAGAGAACTTTCAAAAATGTTATGGGGACGTGTCATTTTCAATGACTTGTTTTTTGGTGTTTTTTCCATAAAATAAAAAAAAAATATTATGTGTAAATGGCTAAAATGACTGTATGCAAGTCTAGTCTTCAATATAACATGTAATAAAATATACACAAACATATTTTTATTTTTATTAAAATAAGAAATACCGGTAATAGTAATTTTATATAATCCTATGATTTTTTCTGTTTGGCATACACAAGTCATTCTCAGCAGAGTTTTGTATCAATCTGAATTGTAAGCAAAGATTGATTGTACTCTAGCGGTAATTATGAATAAAAACTAAAATCCAAAAACATCTCAACAATTTTTCTGTCAAGTCTGGACTGATTTTTTTTACAAAATTTGCACATGAGTTACTGATGCATAGTTTGTTGTGTGATTTGATTCAAAACTGAATGGCTGACTGGTTGCCATGTTCTTGGCCATTTCTCTGACATACCTTGGCCAATTTTGTTACAAGTTAATATAAAGAAAGACATAATATATGGATTGCTTATTTGCCTTTCATTTCATTTTATTGACCTTTGACGACCATTTTTACTCCAACAAATAATAACCGAAAAAACAGCACTAAACCTGTCATCTGCCATTTCTCGGGCATGGCTGCCGGGGCCAATTTTATTCAATCTTAAAATGAACCTCACATTTGATTGATTGCTAATGCATGTCAGTGTTTTTTTATTAACTCCGCTGTCGACTTTGTCGAGTGGAGCTTATCATACGAGTGATTGTCCGTGTCCGTCATCGTCTGTTGTCCGTGTCAATGTTTTACATTTTCAACTTCTTCTTGAAAACTACAAGCCTGAATGCTTTGATACTTAGTGTATATGTATCTTGGGTAGACTTCTCTTAGATTTGTTCATTTCATGATGATATCTTGATGAGATTCTCTAATTTTGGTGAATATTTTTGTCATTTTTGGTAAAAAGTGATATTTTCAACTTCTTGTTAAAAACTCCAATTGCTTTGATATTACATATATAGGTACTACACGTGGACGTCTCTTAGATTTGTTCATTTTGTAATGATATCTTTAATTCCCTAATTTTGATGAATATTTTTGTCATTTTTGGTAAAAAGTGATATTTTCGACTTCTTGTTAAAAACCGCAAGGCCAATTGCTTTGATATTACATATATAGGTACTACACATGAACCTCTCTCAGATTTGTTCATTTTGTAATGATATCTTTAATTCCCTAATTTTGATGAATATTTTTGTCATTTTTGGTAAAAAGTGATATTTTCGACTTCTTGTTAAGAAACGCAAGGCCAATTGCTTTGATATTACATATATAGGTACTACAT